CAGCACTGTTCTCGAAAAGGGGGCGGTAATGAGCGAATAGTGCTCATTTCTGGTTATTTCCAAGGCTAAAGTTGCCACGAAAGATACGGTAGTTCCCAGCGTCATAGACGCATTCATAGTCAGTCGTCCGATCGTAACAATCGCCCAGCATTGGATGCGTATCGATCGTCCAATTCTCGGCCACGCCTGACGATCGATACGCATTCAATGCTGTGCGATCGTTACGATCCTTACAATTGGATGACCTGACTATGAATGCTCCCAAAGCTAACCATTTTCAAAGGTGAGTAAGAGCTCTATGTTCATAGCGCGAACAGTTGCCATACACTTTTTCCTGTGACGTCTGAGAGTACGGATTACCCAAGGTAAACAGTAGAGATCAGCCTCTCTCACGATCAGTGATGAGTCTCGAAGAATGACGAAGCGCGATGATTCGCTTGAGGAGGAGGCCCTATGAAGGACCTCTAGTTTTCGTTCGAAAGTTCCCTTTTTTCGTCTCTCTTATTGGTCTGAATGATTCTGTTTGCTTGTAGGGGGACCAACCCTAATTTAATAGCTGGGGCAACTTCTGGCAGATGGGAAGGGTATCCTTCCAGCTAACCTGTTTTTATGAAATAATTCCTTTACTTTCACCACATTTTCATTTCCATGAGACACACAAACGTCTTCCCTTGGGTGTGGTTTTGATTGGGGAGAGAGTGGAAATTAAAGGGATTCCCCGGGTCTATTCCAGTTAGGGGGCATCATGATGCAGTTTTCCAGAAAGCTAAGGTAACTCCGAGCCAGGGGGAGTGTAGCCAGTCTAGGGGGTGGGGGTGAGGGCAGTCACTTGACATGCGTGAAAAGCTGGAATGTTCGAGTTCACACTAGTTCGCCGAGAAACTGCATCATGATGCCCCCCTAACTGGAATAGACCCCAATTCTCTCCTTCACTAGGTCCGTAAGGTTGTCAGCACATGCGGCAGATGATGAGAGATAACGTGCTCCAATGCAAGCATCACAACGCGACCGATTTTTGGTCGACTGCGCTTGTTGTTGTTTATGAACTTGATTGGATTTCCTGCCGAGTTTTACTTTTGCCCGTTGAGAGCACTGACAGCCTTTCTGCTTATGTAGTGATACACTTAAGATTCTCGAATGGGTGCACGTGTTTGCAATAACCGCAACTGTTTCAGTATCCCCGTTCTCCCCATAGCCATAGATGGATGAATAATTGTGAGAACAAGGATATTGAATTGAGCAGATTCTATTGCATCTGGCACCAGTCTTGCAGCGGTGTTATTATGTTTATTGCCCTATTTCCCTCCTGAAGAACTATAAGCTATCCGATTTGCCGTCTAGTACACACCCATGCATGCATTGCCCAACGGCAGAGTGCACAGTTTCGCGTCCCTTGGCACATTCCAATTGTAGGTGCGGACTTGTTAGCAGGGGTTTGGAAGGCATGCGTCCGTCAATAGTTGTTGACTCATTTCGTCTCATTGTTCGAAGAGAAATCTTTCATTTCATGCATACTCTTCGGGTTGAACGCCCAGGTGTTGCAAAATCGGTGACTGGACATATAGCATATTTCGTAATTTTGTTTCCAACTGGGGTTTTCCAGCGATTTTTGGCTTCACTTTCAATGAAGTTGTTCTCTTATCGGAGTAGGCCAGCAAGGCATGCTTTTTTATTCAAAAATATTGGTCAAGTGGGTTGAAAACTGTCCTTCTGTTTCCGCTTTGCGAGAGTATCCGTTTACTATGTATAAAGCTTTTAAATCTTTATTCCACGCGTTAGTAACGAAGAATTCGCAAAAGTGCGGTGTTTTAGGTGTTTTTTTTTTCCATATTTCATTTTCATCCTTCATATCAGTGTGAATCCCAGCAGAATTTGTACTTCAATTTCTCAATATACTTTGCTTGCACAATGTGCTGCCAATTTTTAATTTTCCCTTGGGCCCTCATGTCGTTTAAGGGAAGGGGGGGGAGGGTGGGGGGATCAAGTAGAGAGGACCCTCACATATGGAAACAGGGGAGTCGTCAGGTGTTCCAAGCTTGTTTCAAAATGGTTCTTGCTGATATGCATTGGGGCAATATGGGCGACCACAGCAAGCCATGGTTGATTTGCCTAAACCGGCTCGTGAGTGCAGAGAAATGGTTTCTTGTCCCTAGTTCGATTCCTCGTGGTGACAAGTTTTTGCATTTCGTGTTGACGTTTCCAAATTCGCGCAAAATGGAGTTAGCATGAATAATTAGTACCAAATTCATGATTAGGAACGTCAGTAACCCTTACAAATAGACTTTGATTGAAAAACTGGTGAAAAAGGTGTGACTAGGGACCCCTTTTGGTATTCAGAGGGCCGTTCAGAAATTTGCGCCCACACCCCTGAAAGACTCCCGTGTAAGCCCTGGGAGGGAAGGGATTTCTGCGGAAGCATGTGAGCTATTCGTGTCCTCCATGACGTTTCTTACTCTCCTGGGCTTAGCCCTAATGTCACCTACCATCGGTCCTGCCCTAAGGCCATGAGCGCCTTTTCCGGCTTTTGATAGGTGTACTTCAAAAGCCATTACGTGTACGTTTTAGGAAAGCGGTGAGGCGTGGAACCAGTTACAAACGTTCCACTCAAAGAAAAAATTCACTTATTGAGATAATCTGGAATGTTTTCGTGTTAGGCTCTCTCATTGATGTTGGCAGTGTGTGCAGCGGTTGTTTGTGCAAGTTTACATTGATTGAAGTTGACCAATCTTGGAGAATACGAGTGTCATATCTATGGAGTGGCAGACATTCTGTGATTTGTTCCCAAAAACACGTTATCGTCCTTGCGATTGTGAATCTGTCTTGTGGAAATGTCAAAGAAATGATGATAAAGTCGTAATTGTAAGCACTTGTTTCTACGAAGAAAACCAATGGTAGAGAATACTTTTGCGGTATAATACGTATTCATGATTCCTTCTGTTTCACTTTGCCAAAATCATTAGGATAAAGGATGCCGGACTTGCATCACTAGCATCCGTCGACAAGCGTTAATTCCATAGCCCTGTAAGCAATCACGTTCTTGAGATGACGACGTCTATCGCTAATTACAAGGAAGAATACTTCCTTAGAATACTTAGACGACCGTCCATCAGCACGGCGGTTGGCCTTGCGCGGGTCCCAACTTCTTTTCCATTGTTCTCGATCTTGGGCTATGGTTGTCCAGTGTGTGGTCACCCTAAAGGACTCTGGATCATAGATGTTGTTTCGATGAGCTAGGGAATCTGCCCATCGTAAAGGAGGACGGCCTTGCGGCCGTTTCTTCTCGCGCGGGTACCATCGCACAGTAGCCGAACTCCATCGTCCGTCATCTCTTCCTCATCAGGTGGCTTTTGGACTTACAATCACACTTTCAATTATAAGAGCCCAGCCGTTAGTAAGGAAATTGCATAGTTATCTGAGTGGAAAAATTCGATAGCAAAGTAATCTGGTGCCTTTGGTGGGCAGGCTATCAAGGTCTGTATTGTTCGCAGCTGAAAAGTGCATGGAAAGCGCGCTAAGAGTTAATGTTGCGCAGTAACTCTAATTTTTCTGACATTCTGGCTTTGATTTTGACGTTGTGCTGTCTGCATCTCGCTCGTTTCTATGCTCTCTCGTCTTCACCCCGGCTGCTCTCTTGCCGAACGTACAGTCTCTCTTCGCGGCAAGCTCTAGCCACTTTAGTAAGGAAAAAAGCTCAGAGCGGGTGCGTATTCTTATTTAACAGCCTCGGTGAAGAACAACTCTTGACCATGTTTAACGTTGATTTCTCAAACTAGGAGACTATGCCTTCATTTTCAAATCATTCTTGCCATGGTATTGATTTCAGCAAAAAATTGAGTTCTAAGCTACAAATTTCTCTCTCCGTAGAACCTCGGTATTGTTATACCTAAAATGTTATTCTTCTTCTGCAAACTCTTTGAATTGCGTTTTGTGAGCTCCTTAGTTCAAGAGTTGGATCTCTTCTCGGCAGGGTGAAACTAGGAGTCAATCAAAGTTAGAGTCATCTAATACTACTTGTAGCAATCCCATACTTGAGCTTTCTTATGTTGATGTTATTTCGAAATGGTCATCATCTCTGTTTATTTATAGCGTTATTTCCATTCTGCCCCTTATGTGTGTAGCTGAGATGACGTGAGCTTCATTTGAAATTCTAGCAGCGTTATCTTTGCAATTATAGATTTAGGATGAATTTGACATTTCACGGTTGCGGGAACATAGCAGCTGGTAAAAACACCCATACCGAGAACAATTAAATCATCCTAACATGACGTTGCAAAAGCGGAAATGACATTTTCGTATCATTGTAGCGGTACATGTTTAGGAAATTAAAGTCCTCTTTCTAATTTGTAATCAATTTTTTTTTGTATGGCTGATTGGTTGAAATGCTAGGCCTTCATAGGCAATCATTTGCAAATTCTGTAATGTAGAGCTGTACCATCGGAAAACAAACTTTGGTCCATGCCTTCAGGAGGCATTCCCAAATTCTGGGCCATTTCATAGATTTTTTTTAAATGTTTAGTGGGTTGTTCTTTTGTTGGAAGATTGTGCGAAGTAGCGATTATGATACCGAGAGATGAGGTTTTCTTACAGGGTTAAGGAATAGCACAGTGGGTGGTCAAATTTCCCAGCTAGGAACGGGTTTCCGCATCCATTGAGATGTGGTTTACGACTTCGCAACTCCTTCCCCTCCCTTAGACTTACAATTAGCCATTAACGTGTCGATGTATCACAAGCGTGCAAAATATCGCTGTTACATTAGCAAAGAGTGTGCCACTGTCAAAATATAGTAGTAATTTTTGCGGTCTTGACTCCTGAAGGTTCAATCTTCTACATTTCTTTAGGATTGTCGATTTCGCTGTTCTACACGTCTAATCTACCATTGCTGATCTTCATAGTTAATCTACCATTGCTGGTCTTCATAGTTCTCTCTTTTGCACTAGAAAAGCGAAAATACGTTTGTAAAAGGCAACAACAGCTTTAGTAAATTCAGTTTTTCAGTTCCAATGGCTGACCTTCTTAAGGGAGTGAAATTGCAGAAGAAAGACGGTAGTAGCGCAAATGCTGAAGACGTGCTCAAGGTTGGAAGGACTTCGTTTTCTTTCCGGCTTTCTATGTCATGGTTTCCTAGTTTTGAATTCAGAGCTTATAGGCTAGGCGTTGTTAATTAAACAGATAACTTTCAGGATAAAGTCGTAGGATTGTACTTCTCAGCTCATTGGTGTCCACCATGCCGTCAGTTCACTCCCGTGTTGAAGGTATATTTGTAGTGTATAATTGCTTTGCAGGGTTCTGTTCGTGAATATAAGATTATCTTAGTTTGAGATCGTAGACTTCTGAATACTGTTCATCTTGTTCTTCTTGCTTCGCTTACTGATACATTTCAGGACTTCCACGATGAACTTGCAGATAGTGGAGAATTTGAGATTGTGTTTGTGTCTTTCGATAGGAGTGAATCTGATCTTAAAAAGTATTTGGAGGAAGCCCACGGCGACTGGTATCACATTCCCTTCGGATCTCCTAAAATCCAGTGAGTGCAGTATCGTAATTACGCTCTTTTATTCTTAGGTGTTGTACATGTTTCTTGTTTTCTTGTATAATTTGTGCGAAACAAATAGCTCTCTATGCCCGCTCTGCTCTATCTGTGATCAGCAGTAACATGATTTCCGTTCTACTTGGTTCAAAAATGCTTTGACGGAGGAATACTGTTCAACTGATACATCACCGATGCTGCGTTCGGGTGATAACTGTTCAATTTTTTTTTCAAAAAGACTGTCCCCAGCTGTTCATTGAACCCTCAGATGGGCCAACTAGTGTCTCATCGCTTACGGTTTCTACAAAAAGCAGCTTTGAATTTGTGGCATCCATGGTAGTTATTGTAACAGTAAGCAAGGTTTTGAATGGGTGTGGTTTACTAGGACAGAAAGCGACTTTTTCGCGTTTCGCAGCGCGAAACATTTTCTCGCTGTGGGAACCTCAGGTCCACCGCTGATCATGAGTGGACCTGGAGTTCCTGCAGCGAAAAATGCTTTCTGTCCTACTGAACCACACCCCTTTCAAATGTTAAGATCTCGAAAGAAA